TCTGCACAATAAGGAACATTTACTTACTACTCTTTCTGTTTGCATTCTGCAGGCAAAAATGCCTTTAATGACCCCCCTCCCAACTTTATGTGATTGTTTTAATTATTAGATGGACCTATTCTCTCAAGTAAAGAGAAACACACCAATTAACATAATGGATTACCAAAATAAGCTCTCACATTAACAGCAATGAGTATGTGGGAGTGTTCGGTAACAACTTACACAATGAATTACTTTAAAAGGTAATTTTTCATGTCCTAATATTTTGATCTCATAAAGAGAGAATTTGAGTCGAGATTATGACAACTGGCATATGCCACTCATTCCCAATCAGACATGTCATAATTTATATGGAAAGGACTCTGTATCTTGGAAACATCTAACAATCTCAAGTCATTTGTCTGCTTTACCTGATGCAACATTGATGATTTCTTTAACAACAACATCCTGCATTTCTTCATACTCCTTTCTATTCTTTATGTATTCCTCATTTATCTCTTTCAGTGCACTGTATGTGAACAAAACAAAACAAGGTTTGCAAATGTCCACAACCTTGCATAATAAGCTTCAACTGATTTTCCAAAAATAATAGTTTACCTTCTTTCAATAGCATTTAGATGCAAAGGCAGGATTAGAACTGAGCTGTACATTTTACATACCTATTGGAGAACTTCACCCCATTTTTCTGTGTTTCCAAGACCTTGTATTTGAGATTGTTTCGCAGAACCTTCTCCTCTCTGTAGGTAATTCGGAAAAAATGCCCATATTGTGCATTGCATTCTAATTTGATGCTCTTCCCAGGTTCCAGACCTGTTTCACAGGGAATAAAATGCATGACTGATTGTGGCATTATAAATACCCAACTCACATTTTCATTATCACCACTCAGTGAGTCAAATTTCTCTCTTGGTTGGTTTCTGCTGCTTGATATTGTATCAGGCCACCTGCTGAGAAGGTAACTCACAGTCACAGGCTTGGAACAAGTCCTAACTACTACCTGGTGAGATGAGAGAGTCAGGGTAGGTTTTAGGGTTTCTTTACAGTGAAAAGAATTCTGAAATGTAGTAACTTACTACCTAAATTGATCTCAATTGGCAAAGGGAAGGGGAACACTCTCAATAGGAGGAAAATTAGATTAACAGTGCCAATAAATTAATACAGATGTCTATCTTTCAATAGACAGCACAAGCCATGCAAGATCCTTTCAATCTAGCTTCTTCAATGTTAAACTCTTCCCTTCATAATTACAATCTTTCTAAGAAAGGGATTACCAGCTTCTCTGGCTCTGTGGCTACTATATACTCCAGCATTTCCTAACCTCAAATTCCTCCAGATGTTTCAAACTGCATCTTCCATCAAACCCAATCACCATGACCAATGGGAAAAAATAAGAATACTGTATCCCAAAGCACCTTGAAGGATCCAGGTTGGCTGTTCCAAGGCATAATTTTCTAGCTGAGTCCTTTACAAACTACAAAGAACTGCACCACCAAGCACTAAATGCTTCACAATTTTGCAGCCCCTGTATGTACAGGGATAGCTCAGCACTCCATGTAACATCAAAAAGAAATAGCAAAACAGAAGCATAGAATCTCTCTCTTCTAAGATTTCAATAAACCAGTCCATCTTCTCAACCAATCTAAGTACAATTTGATAAAATTTGATGGAGTTGTCAGATCAGAAATGACAAAAGGAAAGCTAAAACCTCCTTGCACGGACACTAGAGTGACTCAGTTGTTTTCAATCTTTCTGCTTTTTCAAGACAACTATTCCACATCACCTTGTGTGCTGTGGGATCCCTGAATATCTGCTAAAGAAACTTTGTGCATTGGAGAATTGGAGCATAGAAAGATACACTAAAATAGCACCTGGAAAATTACAAGAACAACGAATGAATGTAATAGCCTGCTAAAGCCAGAGTACCATTTTACTCCAGGTTGAGCATCCCTAATCCGAAAATCTGAAATGCAGAATCAAAAACTTTTTTCATGGGTGGCTGATATAGTGACACCTTTGCTATGTGATGGTTCTGTGTACACAAACTTTGTTTCATGCACAAAATTATTAAAAACTATTGTATAAAATTACCATTAGACTATGTGTATAAGGTATATATGAAACATAAATGAATTTCATGTTTAGACCTGGGCCCCATCTACAAAATATCTCATTATGTATATGCAAATACAGGCTTGCCTCCTGATTTGCGGGGGATCCATTCCGGACCCCTCCCCGCAAATCTGAAGAAACACAAATATTGAAGTCCCCATTGGTTACAATGAGGGGGCATTCCTGCATGCAACGCTGCACACACGTGCCATTCTGTCCCTCCCTGCTTGCTGCCCGCAAACAAGTGAGACCACAGAATTCAAGTCCATGAACTTGACACCTGTATTCCAAAATTCAAAAAA